GCAAAAAAATAATAATAATTATTAGATATCCCAAATGTGCAGCAAGTACCAAGAGACCCAATTTGCTCGGCCCCCATTAAGTCCCGAGTAAATGTAGAAGTGCTTCGCAGATAAGACAGCTTTCTGCGATTCCTTTCAAGCGTGGTTGTAAAATATTCATATATACATAGACGTACAGGCAAGTAAAATTGAGATCAGATGAGCAAGTAAAATGCAATGCATAGTTGGTGCAGCAGAAAGTAACAGATTTACGGAACATCGCTTCACTGAAAGTTACCTACCAAATGAAAGTCTTTAGACAGCTTATGTATGCCACTCGTTCAGAAGAATATGTGCTAGCTGCGTTGCAAACAATTTGCTTATTGTTTCTCATTCTGCCTGCAAAGGCAACTACCTTGCTTTCTGTATGGTTGATTCACTATCGTGCAGTTCCAGTTTTATGCCAATGAAAGTCTATTTAAATCACTGGTATTATAGTGGTGTAAAACCCAAGTAACCGAGTGCTGAATCAGGCTGCATGAGTCCAACTGTGTGGGACTCGGGGAGCAAAATCCTGAAAAGAACAGATGCAAGACACCTCCAAAAATGACCTCTGAACCATTTACAGGCACCTTAAAACGCCTCTGTTTTAAAATCCTGATGTTCCTCCCTCCCTAAACACATGCCACACACTCTCATAGATAAGAACCACTCTTTGCCTCTCGCAAGGTCCTTTCCCAGCCCCTGCACATCATGAGCCAGCCATAGACTGGCTCGGGGCTTCCCTATTGCCTCTGCAACATTTTATACCTGTGCCAAAGAGGGAAAGGAAACCACTAAAAAAGCAGAAACAACTTGAACTTCACATGACAGAGGTCTGCACCGTTACCGCCTGTCTCCCTGCCCTCCAACCGATCAAACTCAAATTAAGTGCTCAAAAATAAATTCAATTTTAATCACGCGAGTCTTACAATTTGTCAGAGGCATTATTTCTGGAAAGCAAGCTACACAGGAACAGACACTAGCCGGATTGCAGAGATCTTCTTCATGTGATGGGAGTTTGTAGTTTTATGTGACCACCCACCAAAAGTAAATAAATAAGACCTAGTTATTGCTGGCTCAATAGACAGGAAAAAATCCAGTGTAGCATACCAAAAAATCTCGTCAGCCTCCCGCCTTTCATGCCTCTAGTGAGGCTGTTTAATAAGCCATAGTCATTATGTAACTCCGGTCACGTTGTGTGTTAAGTGTTTCCATTAGGAGCCTCCGTCTCTAACGATTTTGCACCGTGCTGTACAACTTCCACGCGAGGACGGCACTCGCAGGCTGCACTTCTGCACAGGAGGAGCCCCCTGCAGCGAGCGGGGACCTTGGATGCAGACAGGCTGCAGGCGCAAAGGATCTCAGCTTCAGCAGCCCCTCCGCCAGCCGGGGGAGAGGCAGGGGCTGGTAAAAAAAGCCACTGAATAAATCACTATCCGCTGGTTTCTATGCTGCTTTAAGAAATGTGATTCCATAGCAAGGAGAGCGTTGCACACCGCAGGGAGGCTTTCTCCCAGCAAGACTCAACTCTGGGACAGTAAATAAGTACAACTGTATTGGGCATCTACTACGAGCTAACGTCAGTCAAGCCAATTTATGTCAAATAGAGACTCAGATTGAGCTAAGGGTTTTGCTTTCTTCTTACCAAAATGAATTATCTATTTTGTTGAGTGCAGAACCTTGATTTAACTTGCTTTTCTAACAAGCACATCAAAGCCAGAGGAAATGAAAAGCTGTATTCTCAGGCACAGATGACTGCACCACCCTCCTCGAGCCTGTCCCCTTCCTCCCTTTTATCTAACACCACAATAGTAAACGATTCTATGATTCTATTAGTGCCTTTAGGTTGGAAAAAACCTATCAAGTCCAATTGTCAATCTAGCACTGGTTACACCAGTAAACCATGTCCCTCTCTGATATGAGAGCTACGTTTGAATCCCTGAATGAGTCTTAGCCTCATTTTTACTCTCTGGTTAAATTTTAATGTTGAAGTACTTTGCACAAAATGGAAAAGCTTCCAACAGGAGAGATTTAGCAGATGCTCCTGCAGCCTGAGGCTTTCTGTGTGCTGGGGAAGGGGGGAGATGTTGTCTTAAAGCCCCTCAAGGATAAGAGGAGTGGAGATATAAAACAACCTTGACCTTCTCTCCCCTTTCTTGGGGAGATGATTTAGCTACAGGATAGAAGGCCCTTTCCTTCTTCTTTGGGGTACAAACCTTAATTCAATCATACAAATTTTGGAACAACATGAAAACCTCTCCCACATTTACCAAATAGCTTACCAAGTAAAATACAGAGCAAATCTGCTCATCGTTAGGAGCTTTGTGCCATTTTTAAAGTTTATCAGAACAGCACTCAAGATCCCCTGAGGTGCCCCTGCATCTTTGCTGTAGATGCAAAACCACGGTTGCACCAGCAGACTGTGTCACCATAGTAAAACACAGGGTAAAGCCCCAGGGTCCCTTTTTCGTTACTGATCTGACATAGACACACACTCAGGTTTGATTCAAGCTTTCACCACTGCCCTCTTCATAATCCCAGGCTTTTCTGAGTCAGTGCCTGCCTAGGGACAGGTCGGAGAAATCTCACGCGTGCTTTGTTTTTTTTCCTGACCTGACCTGGTTTTGCTGAAGTTTGAGGCTTATGCCCAAACTCAAAGGGAGTGAAGCAGAGAGCTCTCAGCCATACACAGAACCACCACACTCCTCCTGGCCCTAACGCAGTCTGACAGCAGCAGTGTTCCTGTCTCCCCTGGCTGCACAGATCCTCTTCTGCAGGAGCATCCCTGCTCTCCAGACTCATTTAGGATGCCCTGCAGCACCAGCAAACAAATGCTTCTTCCAGACACCAAAGGGTCAGAAAGCACTTTGGAGACATACGGATCTCTCCTTTCCTAGTTTCTGCATTTCCTTGGATCTCGTTCTACAGGAGAGATGTGCTGGTGAGCAGCTGGTTAGCAGCTTTGGGTGCCTACTTGAACTAAATACAAAAGCAGGACACAGACATGCACGGCCAGCACCAAGTTCCATCCTCTAATGCAGAGCACAGCCCAGAAGGGTTAAGGAGTCTTCTGGGCGATGGGGGATTTGTCTTACCTAGCACAGCCATCTCTATACCTGAACTGGGATCCCTTTGCATCTCAAAAATCAACAGGCAAGCCTAGGCCAGGTCCACAGGGTCCCAAAACCACCTGCATCTCCTCACTGATTGCAGAGGGACCAGCTTGAACACAGCTACGCTGGCGACAACAGCCAGCAGCGTAGCTGCTGCCGACCAGGGAACCTCCTGTCTCATGTCTGGGCATGAAGTGGGATGTTGGGATTTGTCATTTGCACAGCAAGCAGTGTGGCTGGGAGGCCTACAGACAAAATTTTAGCTGTAGGCAGCTTTTAACAAGGAACAAAGATTTACCCATCTTTCTCCCCAAAGCTCACTACACAGTTATTACCTGAAGAGGGAACTGCATAATCACAGGACAGGATTTTTCCAACTAGCCCAGAGGCAAAACTCTGCACATGACTTTTAAGATACTCCCTACTTCTGTCATATAATATATTTTAACATCACTTTTTTCTCCCATCTGTAGAGCAACTTTATCACAGTCTTCCAGCATTGCCATTCCCTTATACAGCAGCAATCATGCTGAAAACCACAGTTCATAGAAAAAAAAAAAAAATCTCAAAACCGGCAGGTCTCCCGGTCAATTAAGGATGGTGGGACACCCTGATAAGTTAGAACAGAAGGCAGAAAGACAATGAAATAGACTGAGAACTTTTCACAGTTTTACAATAAAAAAAAAAACCTTCCCAGCAGGCAATATTCCCAGTGCTTATTGGAGCACTAGGGAGAAAAAATTAAAATAAAAGCCCTCAACCTTGATACTTTTATTTGTCTAAAGTTCCCTCAATGATACTGCTCCAGGCTATAATCAATAAGAGAAAGAAGCAAACCATAAAAAAAAAAGAAAAAATGCAGCACAGATAAGCACACACCCTGCCACGAGCATTTTCTTTCTATAATTCACAGAATTTACCAGGTATCAAACTCAAACCTACTCTCTAACTTCATCCTTGTGTAGCAAGGGGGACTCAGATCCTCTTGCTTTTAAAGGAGCAATACTGCATAATGCATTTGGGATAAACCTATTCCTCCCACTCAAGCTCCTCCGTGCACTCTTCTATTTTGCTGTAGGAGAAGCTTTCCCTGCAGAAATGGAACTGAACTAATGTGGACAAGACTTCAGCAACAACTTAGCATCTCCCTAAACACAAAGTCAAGTACTTCAAAATGGATTTAAGAAAGAAGTTATGACTGCCTTGATCCCAAAGTACCAACTAAACACAAGAGACTTCCACACAGCGTATATTCCCAGTGCAGACCCCATGCTATTAGGATTCCCATGCGATATGCAAAGGGATATTTTTACCCTTATTTTATAAGCAATGCTGTTATGCTTTAGGATGCTTACTTCAAAGATCCTGTTCTGGTTGCTTGTACACAGCTGTTCAGGGCTGGAGCATGTTGGAGAAAGCTCAGCAGACCCTTTCCTTATGCTGAAGCAGTGAGCTCAAATCCTTCACACATAGTGCTCCCAGAAGACGCAGAAGATCACAGTCACAGCACAGAACAAACCAATAAGAGTAGCAGGGAGTAAGAGTTAAGCCATGGCTCTGCTCCTGGTCTGCAGCATCTGCCAGGCTGAAGTAGGTTTTCC